ACTACTGTATACAAAATATCTTGTAATAACCTTTAATGGAAGAGAATCTGAAAAAGAATATGTATATGTATATATATGTATACCGAATTACTCTGCTGTACACTTGAAACTAACACAACATTGTAAATTAACCATACTTCAATTTAAAAAAAAAAGAAGACCATTAAAAAAAAAAAAGATTATTCCTTTTGGGCCCTTCTCCAGCTAAGACAACTTCAAGTACCAAGGGACAATTTGGGGAGTTTGTTTTTAATATAAAGTCTTTACTGAATTCAGCATTACTAAAAGTTTCTGAATTTACCATCCTGGAAAATAAGCACTGTAGTTAGTTGCAGAACTGGTACCAGCCAGCGGGCTGCTATCCTATCCACCATCACCAGCAGAGCTCAGCTGCATCTCCAAGGGCTACTTTCCAGGGATGGCGAGGAACACGGCCTCCCTGAAGGGACGTCCGTGGCTGTTTCACAAATCCAAGGAGAGGGGCTGCAGGCGGTGTCATGTCACTTACTTGAACGTGTCTGCCTAGCAAAGCTTCTGGCATATTCTACTCCAGTTACGTTATCACCAAACGGTGCTTCAAGTCCTGACTGACTGTGAAAGTGTTAAGAGATCTTCGTGTTTTGTTGTGGCTGTGACACTGTCCAGCACACAGCAGGCACCCAGTCGTTTGTTAAATGAGTTCATGTTCACCTCCCAGCTGAGCAAGGCCCCAGCCTTCTGCAGGCTGAAATTCATCACATAAAACATTGTGCAAGTGTGGGACAGCCTTACTAGGAACAAAGTCTTAGGAAGACATTTTTACTCTCAAGCTTCCTACTTGGATTTGTGATGAATTCATTAAAGAAAAGAATACATCATGACATTTTGACTCTAACGTGACATCAAAACAGGTAGGACTACAGGAAAAGTACTGGGTACAGAGTTTTAAAAATTGGCGGGTGCTTCCGGTGGTCCCAAGGTCGGGGACCCCAGGAATATCTGAATGCTGCTTTCTGCCACAGTTCCTCTTCCTCCTGAGGTTTTGGGGAAAACACACCACAGAGCTATGGTAACTGGAAAGCAAAACGCATAATAATTTACTGTGAAATGAGCTTGGGCTCCAAATTCTAGTGCTGAGAACGCTGGCAAGCTGGGGTCGAGCACAGGGCTGAGGCTGGGCCAGCTGGGCCCAAACCCAGATGTCAGTTCTTATCACATGGCCACAGGGAAGAGAAAGAAGGGAGGTGCCAGACTGTGGGCCTGCTCTGGCCACTCGGCAAGGGAGAGAGGAGCCCAGCAGGTGCAGCAGCCCTGCGGCTCTCCCAGGCCACAGCACAGGGGTGTGGGTGGGCAGGGGAGCGTGGAGAGGTGATCTGTGCCATCGCCCGGGGGGGGGAGACCAGGTAGGACGCATCATTTCTAATGCGGGAGGGCATCCAGCATCACCGGGCCTTTCTGGAGCCATGAATGGCTTGTGTCTGGTCAACAATTAGCTCCTTTTCGTTCCAGGGACACGGACATGCTGGAGCGTGAGTGCCTTTGGCAGGAACCTGGTTTTGTTCATGGCTAAATCCACAGCTCCCAGGTCAGCGACTAGCAAACAGTAGGCCCTGTACGAGTGTTTGCAGGATGAATCCAGGTGCTTTGTGTGGGGTGGGGATGGGCTGTGATGAATCCAGTCGAGGAGCAGTATCAGAGGAGATGTCCAATCACAGGCACTGTCGGGGCCAGGCCTTCCTGACTGGGCTGGGGGACGCTCTGGGGACGGAGGATGGCCCCTGGACTACATGGGTGCACGCTCTGGATTTCACTCCAGAGCTTCCGAGTCAGAATCTTGCGGTGTGCGCAGGTAACTGCACTAAGGAAAGTAGGCTTCCCAGGCAAGGGCTGGAGAACTACCCTTTAGGGATCAAAATCAGGAATTTGTAGATCTAATGTTTTGCTTGGCCACACGATGTTTGGCAAATTAATTCCTTTTGTTGAAATGTCCAATAAAAATTTAATTTCCAATAAAAAACTGGAAGACGTGGCAATGCTGGCTCTGGCAGCCCCCTTCCGTCCCCCTGGCCCAGCAGGCGGTTGGCCCCTGACCCCTGTCCCACCACCCTGCCATCGTCCGCCTTCACTAGGTCCCTGTTATTCTTCCTCTGCCTCTTTTCTCTGGAACTGCTGTGACAGCTCCCCTGTTGGCCTCCTGTCCTGTTCACACTGTTTCAGCAGGGCTGCTGCTGAGCCGTTCACTGCAGGGGCTGCTTGCAGGCTAAGACACACCCCTGTGCCCGGACACCTTGCAGGTCCTGGTCACCTCTCTGCTGCTATCCCCCTAGAGCCCCACAAGGAGGCCCAAGCATCTCAGACCTAACTGTACAAAACTAAGCTCTTCCCCGCCACGTCTTTCCAGCCAATGTCGATTCCATCCCAGACATCTCTCTTTCTCTTGCAGCCCACAAAATCTTGCCTACTCTATCTTCAAAACACATGCCAGATCACACTGTCTCACCAGTCCAGACGTCACTGCCACCTCTTGCCAGCTCCTCTGGGCTCCCATCATCTCCAGAGAGACTCTTTCTTTCTCTCTTTCTTTGGCTGAGCCAGGTCTTAGCTGTGGCCCTCAGGATCTTCGTTGCAGCATGTGGGAGTCTTAGTTGCGGCATGTGGGATAGAGTTCCCTGACCAGAGATGGAACCCGGACCCCTGCATTGGGAGCGCGGAGCCTTACCCACTGGACCACAGGGAAGTCTGGCGACCCTTTCAACAGTAGGTCCCTTCACCTCCCTGGGACCTGCTGTGGCTTACTTTTCATTCAGAGTGAAATCCTAACTCTGAACTGGGACCCTCACCAGCCACTTCCCTCATCTCATTTGCTCCAACTTTGCTCTGTGCTTGTCGGGGCTCCTTCCTGCCCCCTCCTGGGGTGCTCTTCCTCAATCCACTTGCCTTCTCCCTCACTCTGTGATTCAGCTCAAAGGTCATCTTATCTGAGTCCTTCCCCAGCCCCCATTACTCCACATTTAATACAGGCCTTAGAATGGTGCCAGGCACACAGTAGGCACTTAAAAGCCCTCAATGTGTTCTGAACCAATGAGTGCTATCCCTCCAGACACCACGAGAGGAGAGGTGCTGTCCCTCTCTCCACCTTCAGGACATGGGTTAGTCTGCCCCTTTGCCCAGGGCTGTCCAACAGAAACAGAATGCAGCCAGGGTATGATTTAAAATTTCCCAGTGGCCACAATTAAAAAGAAACAGGTAAAATTAATTTCAACACTATATTTTATTTAATGCAACTGTCTCAAAGACTATCATTTCCACATGTTGTAAATACAAAAAATTTACTTTTTTTTTTGTGGTACGCGGGCCTCTCACCGCTGTGGCCTCTCCCGTTGCGGAGCACAGGCTCCGGATGCGCAGGCCCAGCAGCCATGGCCCACGGGCCCAGCCGCTCCCCGATATGTGGGATCCTCCCGGACTGGGGCATGAACCCGTGTCCCCTGCATCGGCAGGCGGACTCTCAACCACTGTGCCACCAGGGAAGCCCTACTTTTTCTTTTTTTAAAATTTATTTATTTTATTTACTTTTGGCTGTGTTGGGTCTTCGTTGCTGTATGTGGGCTTTCTCTAGTTGCGGCGAGCGGGGGCTACTCTTCATTGCAGTACGCGGGCTTCTCATTGCAGTGGCTTCTCTTCTTGTGATGCATGGGCTCTAGAGAGCAGGCTCAGTAGTTGTGGCGCACGGGCTTAGTTGCTCCGCAGCATGTGGGATCTTCCCGGACCAGGGGTTGAACCCGTGTTCCCTGCACTGGCAGACGGATTCTTAACCACTGCGCCACCAGGGAAGTCCCAAAATTTACTTTTTTACATTTTACATTCTTTTCTTCTTAGTACTAAGTCTTCCAAATCCAGTATTTTATATTCACAGCCCATGTCAACCTGGACTTGTCACATGTGACTGGGGCGGCCTCATTGGATGTTCTGCACCACATCTTACTTGGTAGTTCTTCTTTAACCTTCTGTCAGCACTTTGAGTGTCAATACTTAAGTAGGGAAACCTGCAAGCCACTCCCCAGACAAGACCTGATTTTCACTCAGTATTTTTAACTCCCTACACTACTCTTTCAAAGCACTTATCATAGCCTGTAATTAGATACTTGTATGGCTATTTGATGAACTACCTTCTGTTCCTGGTCGTTCTCAGTGCCTGATTTAGTGCCTGGCCCATAGCAGACACTCAGTAAACATTTGTGCATTAATGTATTCAGTGGCTTCTTTCCTTTTCTCTACTGTATATTTTTACCACATAGGTTCTGCTTCTGTGGAACTTCGCTTTGCTTTTGCGTATGTTTTCAGATTATTTCAAAGCAAATTGCCTCCTTATTCGTATTTCCTACTTTCAATTCTCTATTTGGTTGAGGTCAGTGTTTTTCTCTTTGTTTTTTAGGCCGCGCCGCGCGGCTTGCGGATCTTAGTTTCCTGTAAGGAAGCAGGTCTGAGAGCTGACTCGGTTGGCGGACGGTTGGTCCAGCACCCCTTGGACAGCGGCAGGTGCAGCCAACGCAGGACGGACTCGTTGTGAGCGGACAGAGCACCGACGGCCCCAGCCCCGGGCCCTCTCTTCGCGGGCGCGCCTCCGGACCAGCTGGCGCCGCGGCCGCACCGCAACACCGCGCCTTCAGGCGCCTTCCGCCCAGACCCGCTCCCGACCGTTCCCCTCGCCGCTTCCGGCACTTGGGCAGGCCAATCGTCACGTCCGAGAACAAAAGACCCGCCTCCTCCGCGAGCCAGGTAGCCAATCCGGCTGCTCGCTACCCCAGCGCCCCGTGCGCCAGGACGCAAGACCTTGCCCAATCCGTCCGCGGACGTGCTTCTGGTCCCGCCCCTGCCTGTGGTAGAAGCTGTCAATCTCGGCGTCCCCCGTGGCCCCGCGCTCACTTCCTTCCCGACGCCGTGACGTGCGCAGCCCTGTGTCCGACGGCGGCGGGCCAATGGCGGTGGTGGATACGGCGGGCCAATGGGAGGTAACGTCTCATGCGGCCCGCGCCGCCGCAGCCGCCGCCGGGTCCCGGAGCCAGAGGCCGCCCGAGCCGGAGCGCGATGGAGCGAGGGCCCCAGGCGGGGAGGCGCGGCCGAGCGCGCGGCCCGACGCCCCCTCAGTGAGCGCCCGACCGCCGCGGCGCAGCCCGAGGGCGGGCTCGCGTCTGCCCGCCTCGCCGCCGCGCCGGCGCTTGGAGCCCGCGCCGCCTTCCCGCTCGGGCCGCGGGCCGGGGACGGCCCGGGGCTGCATGGCCTCGCCCGCGCGCCGCCGCTGAGCCCTGGGCCGGAGACGGAGCCGGAGCCGGTGAGAGCCGCGGTCGCGCCGGGGTTGGGGCGGGCGCGGGGCGTGGGGCGGCCTTGCGGCCTGCAGGCCTTCCGCGCCGGGCTGAGCAGCGCAGCGGGCTTCGGCGGGCCTGGGGGCCGGGGTCCGGGGCAGCCGTGACGGGCCTCCGGGGCCTCCGGGCGGGCTTGTGGGGGGGGATCCGGGAGGGCCTGAGGGCCTGGGGGGTAGCCGGGAGGGACGACGGCGGGTTTCAGACGGGCTTGGGGGCCGGGGGCAGACGGGGGTTTCAGGCTGGACTGGGGGGCAGACAGGGGCTGAGGGTGGGCTCTGGGTGGGCCTGGGAGGCCCAGAGGGCCGACGGGGGACTCCGGGTGGGCCTCGGGCCCTGGGGGCCCTACCGGGGTCCTGGGACAGCCTTGAGGGGCAGAGGGAGGGCTCTGGACGGGTGGGGGCCGACGGGGGTCTTCGAGAGGCCTGAGGAGCCGACGGGGGCTCTGGGCAGGCCTGGGGGGCCGACACGGGGCTGAGGGTGGGTTCTGGGTGAGCCTGGGGAGCCGGAGGGGCCGACGGGGCGCTCCGGGTGGGCGTGGGGACCTTGGGGTCCCGGGGCAGCAGTGAGGGGCAGACGGGGGGCTGCTGGGGGCTCCAGGCGGGCCTGGGGGGCCCGGGAAGCCTTGAGAGGCCGGCCGTGGGCTGTGCAGGGCCCCGGGCACCTGGGGAGCGGGGCGCCGACCTCTGACCCGCGGGAGGGGCGCCTTCGCGGTGTCGGCTGTAGTTGTTATTCCCAGCGTCCTATTATTATCGCTGTTTTGAAACGGGAGCAGGCGGCTTCGGGCTCTAAGCCGGAGGGGGAGGGCGAGCCGGGGCCCTGGAGGGAGAGGGAGCGTTGGGGCCGCAGGAGGCGCGTGGGCCCGCGGAGGGGCAGGAATGCGGGGCAGCAGTGGGGGGGTGTTTCGGGGGGGGGGTAGGCGGGAGGGGGGGGGGGGGGGGGGGGAAGCGGCGGCGGCGGCTGCAACAGCAGCCCTTGGCCTCAAGGAACAATGTGAGACGTTGCCTGAAATGTTAATTTCCGTTCCTCATTTCATCATCCCCTGGCAGGGCGGTAGCTGTGAGAGCGCGTGCGTGTGTGTTGTGTGTTTGTGTGTGTGTGTGTGGTGTGGTGTGTGGTGTGTGTGTGGTGTGTGTGTGTGTGTGTGTGTGTGTGTAGGGTTGGCCCTGCCACATGGATTCAGTCCCCTTTCAAAGAGGGATCGTGTTGTTGAATCTTGTGTCTCTGCCGTTTTGGGGGGAGTCTTAATTTTTCTTGAGGGCTGCTCTTTTCCTGGTGTCCCATCAAGGTTTTCTGCTTCTGTTGTGTTGTGAAAGCTAGTCTCGTATCCCAACTTCCGAAGAGTTTTGGAAGAGGCTTTGGGAGATTAAGCTGTCCTAAGAGGGCCCCGTGCTTTCAAAACCATTTTCTTTCTAACAGTTCAGACGCAGCAGGCTTAGGTTTCATGGTTTCTGTAGGTTATGAGAAGTTTTATGTTCGCTTGCAAGAACAGGATTTCTCAGCAGAGAAGTCAACTTTCAGGCTTTCTTATATGGTGAGAGAGTATTCTGAAGTGGTTTTGCACAATGTCCTTAACATTCCTTTTGCACTGAGCAGTGAGCGTGCGCGCAGTTGTTGAATTGGGGGGTGATGAAATGCTCTCAGCCAAAAGATGTAAGATGATACTGCTTGTAGAAGAAGTGCCATTGAAACAGTTACTATTTTTGGTTTGTGCAAACCCAGTCAATGGCATAACTTGGATAGTTCTAAATCAGAGACCCTGAGACTGTGTTTGATGCCTTTAGGACCTTGATTGCGCTTACTCAGTGTTGCTGTCCTGGAAGACCTGGAGTTCTGTTTGTGTTTTTTAGAATGATTGCATAAGTACTCTGGTATTACTTTGAAACTGTAGTTAGAAAGAAAAAAGGGAACACATCTTGCTCAACTTAGATTGTGACCCTTCATCCCCCGCCCTCCATTCAGCTGTTGTCCTCCCTCTGCGGTGTCACGCTCAGGAGCGGGCTCGCCTTTGATAGGCTGGCTCTCTGAACGGAGGAAACAAAGACCAAGTTGCTGTGACATTTTCCTCTGTTCTTTGTGTGTGCCTCTTGAGTTAGTTAAAAAGCTACCCACAGATAGTGCCAAATTTGACCCAGCTTTGAAACTTTGAAAAGATCTTTTTCTTCTAAACGTTTTTTTTTATCGTGGGAAAATAAACATAACAAAATTTACCAGAAGTTTGTTTTTAAAGGTGTCACATAGTCTTGAATTCCTCCTTTGCAGTTGTACCTTTGTGTTGCCACTGTTGGATGTTTTCCTTTGGGGGTGCTGTGGGCCAGCCGTGATAGTCACACTGCACAGCAGGCCTTTCATCTCTCCAGACCAGATGGGCTGCTTGTGACTCGTGGCTGTCATCTTAGCTCTAATTACAGTGTTGATACAGTGACAAGTAGAACTTTCTACAAATAGAGTTAAAGGAGCTGTGCTATTTGTACTGGAGAATATTTTTCAAGAGGCGTTGTGTTGCGTGCCTTGAGTTTTTAAGTACATTTGACACAGTAAGGTTACGTTTCATCCAATATGAGAGGAGAGTTACTTTGCATAGGATGGCAATGAGCCCATCATCAACTAAATAACATAATTAGAGAGCGTCAGTAAATGCTGGTTCAGAGCATGGTCTGCATTTGTTGCCAAAATAAGTGTTTTGATCTGTCCATTAGTCCATGTAAGTCCCTTCATCTCTCATATGTAAGTATAATGGATGAGCTTCCTTGAATAGCAAGATACTTGCTAGTTAATAGGTGCGAATGACGCTGCACTGCTTGCCTGGCTGTGTGCTGGGTCAGTTCACTATTGCTGTTCAGTCAGTGCTCTGTGGGGACTGAGTTTGGCCTGTTTGATAAACTTTGTACAAAAAATCGAATGAACGCAAATAAAAGTTACTGTCTTGAAATGTTTTCATGTGTGTTCTGTTAATTTGAATTTCAAATGGAATTTCTGTGCAATTCAACTTTTTCAGTTTTATCTTAAACTCTGTGAAAGATGGCGTCAATCCCCAGCACCTGGAACGCAGGCAGTTAGAGATAATTGGTATAGAAAGCCTTTTTAAAAAGGCTTAGGAAATGATCCACTTCAACAACTCTCTGTCCATTCTTTTCTGTTGTTGTTGTTAATTCTCATAGAGATGTTTCTGTTTCTAAGCGGTTCTTTTTTTTGTTGTTTGATGCATCTTATTCTTGATATCTTTTAAGCCAGAGTCAGACTCAGCTGTGTACGTAAGTGTATGTTTTTGTTAGTATTCTTCTGTGCTTTTCTTAACTCCCGCTCCTCTCTCCCCATGTTAAAAATTTTCTTTAAATTCACCTTTCAACCAAATAGTGTTTTATATATATGCTAGAACTACAAGTATTATTATTATTTTTTTTTTTGCGGTATGTGGGCCTCTCACTGCTGTGGCCTCTCCCGTTCCGGAGCACAGGCTCCGGACGCGCAGGCTCAGCGACCATGGCTCATGGGCCCAGCCGCTCCGCGGCATGTGGAATCTTCCCTGACTGGGGCACGAACCCGCGTCCCCTGCATCGGCAGGCGGACTCTCAACCACTGCTCCACCAGGGAAGCTCTACAAGTATTATTTTTATGAAAGTGTCCCAAAGGATTATTAACTGGCCTAACCCTGATTGTGTGACCCCCTGCCCCCACCCATGTCCTTCACTCAAGTCCTCTCAACTCCTCATGCTCCGGTTCCCTTGGCCTTTCATTTCCTAGGTGACCCTCTGCTTGGACCAGGGTCTTGCTGAATGTCCATCATTGTCTCCCTTGCAAATCCTCACCGCCCCCCCCCCCATCAACACAGTTGATCAAATGTGTGATCACAGGGCTCTAAGCTGAATGAAGAGAGGCACGGTCTCTTTGTCACCCAGGGCCCAGCCTAGGCATGACCCTGGGCTTAGAATTGGCTCAGGAAGTATTTGTTGAATTGTTTAAAGGCAGTGTATGGAAGTGTTTGAGAAATTTTGAAAGGACATACTTAGTATCATGAACATTTATTTGATTGACTAGGAATTACACTATGTACATTTTAGCCATTTTCCTATTTGTTGTTATTACAGGTTTACTTGCGAAAGGTGTGGGGCATGGCTTTTAAAATTGGCACAGAACGAGAGATAAAGGAAATAAAGTAACGGTTGTCTTTGTGGAAGAAAAAGAATGCTTTCTGTGAAAGCAGCTTTAGTAGGACTGCGGTGCGGGGGCCACAGTCAGAGGCTCGCCAAGTGTGGTTTGCTGCTGCTGCTCATGGTGATGAGAACTTCGGGCACCTTCTGGCCGCGTGTCATGTGAGCAGTGTGGAGTCCTGTGAAAGGTTTAGAATTTTTTGATTGATGTTTTTTATTTCCTAAGCGGTTGTAATAAAGAAGGCCAAAGCAACATAAATTCTCCAGAATGGAGGCGGGCCCCTTAACATTATTTATTTATTTTTGGCTGCATTGGGTCTTTGTTGCTGTGCGTGGGCTTTACGTTGGGGAGAGCGGGGACTACTCTTCGTTGCGGTGCGCAGGCTTCTCTTTATGGTTGTTTCTCTTGTTGCGGAAAACGGGCTCTAGGCACGCAGGCTTCCGTAGTTGTGGTGCATGGGCTCAGTAGTTGTGGCTCGCGGGCTCTAGAGCACAGGCTCAGTAGTTGTGGCACACGGGCTTAGTTGCTCCCTGGCATGTGGGATCTTCCTGAACCAGGGCTCAAACCCGGGTCCCCTGCGTTGGCGGGCGGATTCTTAACCAGTGCGCCACCAGGGAAGTCCCTAGTTTTGGCATTTTAATGAAGAAAAAAAAATCTCTTTGGAGGGAATACACCAAAATGGAGTTGTGTGTTATTTTTTTCCCCTTATGTTTCTGTTTTCTAAAAATGAAACTTATGTATTTGGGAAAAGGTTGTTATTGAAAAGCCTAATCTTGGGCATAATTTGGGTGATAAAGACTTGAGTTCTTGGTTTAGATAA